TATATATATATATATATATATATATATCCTCCTCGCCCCTCGATTTTTCCCAACAATATCGTTCCCAAGTGTCGTCCAGTCCGCGAATCGAATTTCGTCCTCTCCCCTCCTCCCCTTTCACATCGGGTAACAAATGTACGTACGACTCAATAATGCGTCCGGAATCGTGGCCGGAGGAAAAATGCTCGGAAGATCGAGTACAATTGTCCACATTCCATTTTCAGAGATACACATCGGGTGACCGTGTACGATCAATGAGAACGGATCGAGAAAGATCGATCAGACACCGAACGAAGATTCCTTCCATCCCTCGCACATCCAAATATCTTTTTTTCTTTTCCCCCTCTCTTCTCTCTTCTCTCTCTCTCTCTCTCTCGCTATCTCTTTCTATTCGCGCATAACCACGTTCAAAGTCCACTTCTCCTGTGGACTTTTCCTCGAGATCCGGGAGCAGGTGTCCCGCGGCGGAGATTCCCGGAGGAGATTTCCAACGGTCTAACGGTCTTGGTATCGTTTTCCACGTAGTGCGAGATTGCATCGCGAGCATTGCCGCCCTTTTCCTCGCCCTGTTCTCGATTTCACCCTCCTCGCGATCCCATAATCTCTTTCTTTTCGGTGGTGCACGAATGGTGGACAAGGATGACGCGCAAGCAAGGGCGGTGGAATTGAAGATGGCCCAATGGAGCAAGGGGTTTGCCGGATCGAACAAAGGGTGCGAATTGTGGGTGTATTATACCCTGGACGCTGAGAAAAATTTCTAAGAGATATAGAAAGGAAAAAGAGAAAGAAAAAAGGAGAGAAGGAAGAAAAGGATTCGATCGAAAATCTCGATGGAATTGGATAGAGGCGAGAAGAATAAATAAGAAGAATTTTCGAGGGAACGAAATATCGAACAATCTTTAGATATTTCAGTTTTCCCGCGTGTTGAAGAGGAATGTCAACTTTTTACTCCGGCTGTTTGCACCCTCTGTCAACGTGGATAGAAAAACGGACAAGATTCGAGTGTCCGGCCATCTCTTAAAGAAATTGCTTCCTCTCCCAGACACTTCGTAAATGCGTTTCCCTTCCATTCTCTTCCCTTTCTCCTCCACACTCGTTATTTTATTTTATTTTTTTTTTTTCAACGGTGATTGCCAGATCGGCCAATTAAGCGGTATCAGCGAAGAGAAGAAAGAATCGGAGGAGGAGGAGAAGTTCACTTCTTTTCTTTCCTCGTTTCCTCTGCCCGAAACGTTGACAGAAGCACGGTAACGTTCTCGACAGACGGAAAGGCTTACACGAAACACCGATAACAATTGAAAAATGGGTCAATAGACGATTCCACTTTTTCGCTCTTCACCCATTGTCTCCCTCTCCCTCTATCCCTCTTTCTCTCTCTCGCTCGCTTCTCGACAAATTTATCATCGGCCTTGTATTTAATTTCGAGGAACAATTACTCCTCCCCCTCCCTTTGTTTCGGAGGTCGCATGAATATTCGACGCGAAAAATGATAACCGAGATCTTGCATACCCTCCACCGTCTCGTGATTTATCTCGACTTCGTTCCAGGTCAGGTTCCAACGCCGGTTAGCCAAGACGTCGCGCGGACACAGGGTGCAATTCATATCGCGGAATTGATAGTAAATTAGGGATTCAAAGCGGCCGAGATACCGAATGGACGGTTGAAAAGTTGAAGAAACAGGCCACGCCGATAAATCTTGCTTACGTAACGCTCGGACGGGGTTTCAACCGTGCTCGACTCGAGGGAAGAAAAGGGAGAGAATGAGAGAGAAAGAGACAGTAGCACGGATCGGAGAAAAAGGAAAGCCACTTCCGGGGAAATGGTATTAAGTGGCGCGCCGATCATAAATAACGCTGGTCGTCGTAATAAATGAACACCGCCCCGCGTTATATCGCTAAACCGGGGAAGATACGACTGACATTAATCACCGGCGAATCAGTCGCCATTGAAAAACCGTCTGGCGGAAGGATAGTGGTCCTGGTTGAATAAAAGAAAGCTACTTAATGTCATCAATCAAGTTCCACAAAGGGGGTAAACGAAACGTAACCAGTTCGGTTATGCCGTGTATCCTTTCACCGATATTCGGTTTAAAATCGACTTTACCAAGTTTCCAATAACGTTAAAGAACGTATTCCATTACTTGCCAAGTTTAAAACCGAGTTTTGCCCCGTCACGCGTTAATAGGATCGCCGTCCTACTCGCCATTCGTATCGCGCTTCTAAATATATCTTACAATCGTACAAGATAAGTTCTCAGAGAAATGGTCAGCAAAAGCGTCTCTTCGTAAAACAATCAAGACGGTAATTCAATCATCCCTAAACTAGGAAGTTTATATTACGCAAAGCCTCTTAAACATCAATCGCAAAACCTATCCAAGGATTCTGAAGCCGCGCGATCGTTTTTCGAGTTAGCTTTAACGCGATTGAACTTCCCGATTGTTTCCCCAGTTCTTACGACGTCGGTCGATGCACTCGAGACCCCGGGAAAAGTGTTGCCCCTATTTCTACGGAACCTATTCACCAAAGCAAACCCTTGGATCGGCTCAATTAAACGAACAGCAGAACGTGCTGACCCGTCACTTTCCAACATTAATTAACTTAGCACGCGCCTAACTTCCCTCCCTCCCCTCTCTGCCTTTGTTCTTTGGTATCTATGTTAATATAATAAGTGTAATTATTTCTCTATACCTCCCTCATCTTCCTCTCTCTCCTTTAATGTTTCTTCATTCTTTCTTTTTTATTTTTATTTTTTTTGTTTTCCATGCAAATAGCAAAAATTAAACGAGGTGGCGCGAAAATAAAACGAATCGATTTTTACGAAAGACTAATGAGTTGTGAAAATGCGAAAAACATTCGACAACGGCGTAGTAGAATATAGATTTAAAAAAAAAAAAAAAAAAAAACGACAACCGGATGCACGGGAGTTGCGAGAATCGAGTCTGTTGAAAGCAGATTCGGTCGACGCGGCCACGAATTTCTGCAGCTCATTGGAAACTCCAGGATTTGCCGAGTGAAATATCTGCTGAATTTGTGGAGGAGGAACTGAACTTGAAATCGAATTCGCAACTTCAATTCGAATTTCCAAACTACGCGTTCGGGATCATTAAGCTGTGTAAAATAGAAATGAGAAGTTTTTTTTTTTTTTTTTTACGTTAATTTAAAGAGGGAACATTTCACTCGGCTCGTAACTAATTTTAAATGGAATAAAATCACCCGCACCCGTAGTTCTATGGTTAAGAAACGTTAAGAACGGATACTTGCACGAATCCTCTGAGAAGGAGAAGGTATAAGAAAGAGAGAAGAGATAGAATGGGGGGAGAGAAAGGGAGCTTAAGATTTTAATTTATAGCCACCGGACCCGCCTTTAATCTGGCAACTAGAGTGCCGTGTTTCTCGTAAATAACCGGGTAAGAAACTATTATTATTCCATTATGAAAAACAAACTGAAGAGAAGAAATTATTATACCCGCCCCCTTTATATCACGGGTTAAATTCCATCGATTAATTCTACTTTAATACTGTACACCGGCGGTATAACTTGGTTAAAAAATGCTTGGTTGGATAAAAATGCGCCCCCCTCTTAATCCTAGCCAAATGTACGAAACATCGATGAATCCATACTTCGAATCTATGAATACATTAATTTCCACGATCTCTTAAACATCGAGGCAAACGTTGAAAAGGATAATTTATCAATTTTTCACCAATTTCCACGTGGATCGTTACGCAATTAAATTCCCAACTAAATGGAATTTAATCCGCTCGACAAAGAAAGTGTAATTGAACGAGCCAATGGAGGAGAACTTTTCCGATATAAAATCGCATTTCTACCCGACCTTTTTTTAACATTTAAGATCGTGACGATGGTATCGCTTTCCACATCGAGTTTCCATTAAAAAAAGATTCTCGTATCTCTCGTGTCCTCCCGTACAATACCGCGTCATTAGACAAGCACCCGCGACAAAAGGACACGGATGGCGGATACGATTAGTCCATCCTGGTTGATACCACCTTTTCTTACTTAATCGACCGATATCGCGCGAGCAACACAACCACGGTCGACGACAATGCCCAGTTTTTCATATTTCTCCTCGTTTAGCGGCCATCACCCGTTCCGTTCTCCTTTTTTTTCTCTCTCTCTCTTTATACGAAAACACATTAGGAAGCGGTAGCGGAGGTAGACACGGTGAAAATGGTAATGAGAAAACACGGGGATCAGGCGTAAATTTTTATTTTTCCCGGGGAAATGTATCGTGAAGAGCGACGCGAAATGAAGAGAACGACGCCTCGTTTTGTTTCCTCGGTGGAGGAGAAAACTGTATCGTGAAAATTTTTCAAGTATATATATATATATATATACCGTTCTGGCATTCTATGGCGTCCCCCACTGGCCAACCCTTTCGTCGGTATTTTACGACTCGACGGTGCCGTGCCACCGAATTGTCAGCTCCGTTTTTATTACACGCGCGTTTCCCGTACGCGTGTACGAAATATGTACAAAAGAATATTTTTAAAGGCCAATTGTGATGCGAGTTTTCGCATCGAGAGAGTTCGACGAATGAACGCGGAGAGTTCAATTATCTCGTTGAAAATTCGATTTCTTCTCCGATTCATTCAGAAGATATAATATTAGTTATTTAATAAGAGAGAAAGGTACACGCGCGGATACCGCTAATATTCTTTTATTACGGTGGAAAAGGTAATATTTCATAAACACGCGGTACGTTCATTACACACGCGTGATTAATTTTCCTTTATTAATGAATGGCCGACGTTGTTTTAAATGTTGAAAATTGATTAATTCCTCCATATTGTATTCCGTACATATATCGTTCGAATAGAACTTCAGTTAATTTGAATTCTATCCAAGATGAAACCAACAAAGACGTTGATTATTAATGAGGAAGAATCCCATTATGCAAAGTAATAGCTGATAAGACGATTATCATTAAGGTCTCGTAGCTTTATCCGGGTAGAAGAGATACGATAAAGTGACGAACTCATTACCAAGGTGAAAACACGAGGGATAATTCGGTTGGAATCTATTTCCAAATTTTTCCTAATAGCCTCACCGTCCTCCTCGCGGCCGATGCCTCTTGCGAAAATTCTCTTTCCTCTTCGACCCCCCGGAGGGGTTACATTTTTAATAGTATCCCCTCTTGAATTATGTCTGCGACCCGCTGATAAAAGCCAGAAGGCGTTTTTAGCATCGACTATCATCGACTCTCCTCGCATTCTTCCATTCCTACCATCTTCTCGCCGAGCTTCCGCCTCTTTTTTTTCTTTCTTTATCGCAACTCTTCCCGATATCGCCAATGGAGCGTAGATCTCTCTCTTACGGATTCCAACTTCGATAACAATTTTGATATTCGGAGAAACAATCGAAATTTCGAGAATTACGAAGGAGGGAATAATTCGAAACGATCAAGAAGAATTTGTTTCTTGAGGACGACAAGAGAGAGGTTTGAAATCGAAGAGGCTCGCGATACGTTAAATACGTGTAGAATCCCGTATTTATCTCAAGAAAAAATGGATTATGGTGTGATTTTAAATTCTTAAAGCGTTGAATCGAAAACGTAGCATTCTCGTAATATTCTTTCCAAAAAAAATCTTTTTTTTGGAAGGAAAAAGTAGGAAAACTTATTATTCGTTAAACTTATACTCTCGTGGAAATTCAAAAGAAATAAGATCCCGTCGCGCTTGTTAATTTATGGATGTTATTTAATTCTGTACGAATAACTAGAACGGCGAAAAAGAAAAGGACTGTTGCTTTGTGAAAATGGTTCGCGAAACGAACGAAATTTGAACGAGGCAACAAGAATCCGAAAGAAAATAATTTCGTTGAGATCCCGAGAGAAAATGATTCCTTTCGCCTTTAAAAAGACGGCTCCTCCTCCTTCTCTTCTTAGCATGGTTTGATAACTTGACAAGTTTTGGTTCGAGATTACTCGAGTTAACGAAGCGTACTTTTCGTTCGCAAAGTATTTAAAGAAGTTTCGCATTTAAAATCAATCTTCCGACTATTTGTTACAACTGGAAAACGCTCTTTCTATCCTTTCTAACGAACTTTCTGGCGAATCCTTCCGGTACAATCTCTCTTCAACCTCTTCTTTCTTTTTTAAATTTCGATATTCCAAGACAAATATTTGAATTCAAATTGGCACGTTTTAAATCGAACCTTGATATTCCTTTAAAATCAACTATCACTCTCCTACGAAGACCGAAGCCAAAATAACGGTTTCCCACCTTCTCTATTAAACTCTCTTTGTCCTTTACAATTTGCCATCATGCTTCAGATTTCAGAGAATCGAAATCTTTCCTTATTTTCCAATCTCGAAAGCTGAGGCACGAACACCACGAACTTTCGAGTTTCGTCAGTTGGTCTTTCCGATTCCCAAAGCAACAGCAGCCACGTCGATTCGAACGACTCGTGGAATGGTCGGGAAACGGGAATGGAACGGCAATCCGGTCAGCAGAATTTAACCGATCGCGCTCAGTCACACCGGTAATTTCTGTTACGTGTCCAACCACTCCTCCTCCCGCCTACTCTCGCCAGGATTTTATTTTTCACTCTCGTCCCCGCGCCAAAATCGCGTGAACAAAACTAATTGAAAAGAACAATCTCGCGGCGATGTTCACAGCGACACAGAATTCACAAGGGATTACGAGATTATTTTCGTCTATCTATCTCTACTTTCCATATTCCATTTCTGTGTCTCTTTTATTATATGTACCTTTCGTGCGATACCCTCTATTGATTCCGTTGGAATCGTATTATATATAAATTGTTTCATCGCACAAAAAAAAGAAAGAAAGAAAGAAAGAAAGAAAGAAACCGCCTACAATGATTCCTTTTAATTAGAATTTTCAATTCACGGTCTTTCAACGATTATCCCCCCCCTCCCAGGTTCCTTCAACTACAAACGAAGAGAGAATTCTCACTACCCCAGTTTCCCCCGAAGAATCAAACAGCTGCCGGCCCTCGTGTCCGTTTCACCTCTGGCCACCGTAAATACAGATAAAGCTAATTGAGAGCAATCGTTTGCCCGGGGGACGAACGGTGCTCCTTTAATCCTCCGGATAAAAGATAAAAGCTTCTTCTCGATTGCGCCTCGTCATTCCTCCCCTCCCCCCTCCCCCTCAGTCTCTTCACTATTATTGTTCGAATCTCGGCCGTTCTTTGCCCGCGGTATTAACCCTTACTGTCGAACGATGACTACGGCGGCGAACCTATATAGCTGGTATATCGTCCCGTATAGTATATTAGAGGACAAATTCGTGACAAATCTCCCGTCTCTCGTCACGTTCCCCCGTACGATCCGCAAACACACGCTTATTGGAAATGAAGATGGCGCGCAAGCGGATGGTGGCTCCTAAATGGACGAGATCCTTGGACCGCTGTGCAAACTCGGCAGGACAGAGGATCGTAATCGAAAGACGGGTGGGAGGGGAGGGGAGAAGAGAGTCCAGAAATCCTGCAGGATGCCTCTGAGGTTCGCAAACACTCGTCCCAGGCGAGGATTAGGAAGGAAGAATCCCCGTGTCTCCCCGCACGGTACGCTGACGATTGCATTTCTCGATTCTTCCTCCTGCAGAAATTGTTTCAATTCGACTCCACGTCCCCAAACGTCTCGTCCTCCGCACGACGAGACGCGTCTACTACGAGATTAAATCGGGCTTAGTCCCCTCCTCCCTCCCTCCTCGCGGTCATTCCTCCTCCGGAAGGCCGAGTTATTTCTCCCCGGCGTGGAAAACAATTTCGCCCGGATTCGCCGCAATTAAAAGTCGCTCAACTCGGC